ACGTGTTAACACGTGTGCACACCGGTGGCGTCCACACAGCACCGTCTCCCTCACACGTGCGCCACACAACAGCCAACACCTAGTCCCCGTGCCCCGCCCACCCCCTCGCCTTCACCCCTCCCACGCACACAACCGGCGGCTCGGGCTGGCTGCTCTAACGCACGCCGGCGGGTTCCGAAGGCGGGTTCTTCTCCAGGGCTTGGGACGCCAGGCCGGGTGGCGCGTCGGGAGGGGCTGTCTGCGTCCAGGACGCCCGCCGGCAACCCGGCCTCACCCCTTCGCGGGCGCCCAGCTCCGAGTGGTCACGCTGGCTCGGCGTCAGCATGAGCGTTTGAGGGGCATGGTGTCGGGCAGACCACAGCACCCCACCCGTCCCACATACTCACCTGCCCGCAACCACATACTCACCCCTGCCCCCACCCATCCCACATACTCACCCCTGCACCCCACCGTCCAACATACTCACCCTGGCACCACACCCACATACTCACCCCTGCACCCCACCCACCCCACATACTCACCCTGCACCCCACACCCACATCGTCATCCCTGCACCCCACCCGTCCACATACTCACCCCTGCACCCCACCCATCCAAATACTCACCCTGCACCCACGTCCACATATCACCCCTGCACACCCACCGCCACTATCACCCCTGCACCGCACACCCCAATCTCATCCCTGCACCCCACCGTCCCACATACTCACCCCTGCACCCACCCGTCCACATACTCACCCACCTGCACCACCCGTCCACATACTCACCCCTGCCACCGCACACCCCACATACCTCCACCTGCACCCACCTCCACATACCTCACCCTGCACCCCACCCGCCCCCAACATACTCAGCCCTCACCGTCACACCCACATACTCATCCTGCACCCCCACCCCGTCCCACATACGCACCTGCACCCCCCACCCCGCCCCGTCTCAGCATACTCACCTCCTGCACCCACCCGTCTCACCAGTACTCACTCCTGCACGCCCATTCTCCACATCAAAATACCAGCCCTGCACGCCCGCACCCCATCCACATCTCACCCTCACCCACTCCCCACACCCATCCCACATACTCACCCTCAGCCGCACCACCTCACCCACACTCACCCCTGCCCCCACTCACCACACCCCCACATACCTGCACCCGCCCCACATACCTCACTTCTGTACCCCACCTCACCCACAATCATCACCCCTGCACCCACCCCACATACTCATCTCACCTCCACCCCATATACCCTGCACCCCACCCCACATACTCACCCCTGCACCCCACCCCACATAGTCACCCCTGAACCCCCATCTCACCCACATACTCACCCAGCACCCCACCCCACATACTCACCCCTGCACCCACCCCACATAGTCACCCCTGAACTCCCATCTCACCCACATACTCACACACTGCACCCGCCACACCCCATCCCACCAACTACTCACCCCTGCACCCCACACCCTCCCCACCATACCTGATCCTCCACTCACCCATCCAATACCCCTCACACCCATCCCAGCATGCCCCCTGGCCCCCCCCATTCCACATATCACCCCTGTACCCCCACCCCCTGTCCCCACAATACTCACCCCCTGCACTCCCACC